TATTTGAATTTAATGGCATCATTATAAGAAAGAAATAATTACAGGTGTTTGATAAGGATATGGATAAATTAGAGCCTTCATATACTTAAGGGAATGTGAAATGCTGCAGCCACTTTGGAAAACAGTTTTGATAAATTTCAAAAACATGAAGCAGAATTATCAGATTAATTATCAGATTGTCAGTTTAACTCATTCCTGTTTGCCCAAGAGTAATGACAACATAAGTTCCAGCAAAAACTTGAAGCAAATGCTGGTGATAGTATTGTATATAGGTAAATTATTTAAATATTTTGTAGGCAGTTAGACAGGGTAGGCCTGTGAGGAGTCAACGTGGAGGACAATCAAGACACACGGTCTTGAAGGAGAGCATTGTAAAACAAGAGAAACTACTACATCACCTGCCTGCTTCCCCTAAGGATGAAAAGCAGTGATTGATATTCTAGCGAGGTATCAATCACCTGGGTCGGGGGCCGAGGTTCCACCTGCCCCTTCCAGGAAAGGTACCTTACTGAAAATCTTTGTATACTTGCTCTGGTGACTTGCTTCCTCATTGGATCCCTGTCTAAGTGACTATATTTATAATCTTACTGATCGATCATAGTTTTGTCCACCTTGTGATTTCTCATTGGATCATTATTACCTAAACAACTGTACTTGTGATCTTACTAGTTAACTATAGTTTTGCCCACCTTGAATCCACCTCACCTCATGTCTTTCTCCCGTAAAACACCTTTGAGAAGCAGGGTTGGCAAGTTTTTCCAGTCCCCCTTCTGTCTCTCTCACACAGAAGATATTTTTCAATGAATTCTTCCCTGCTCTTAACCTCCATTGTTCCTCAAATTCATTCTTCAATTTTAGAGAACACAAGCTCGCATTTTTGATATCTAGCAGGTTTGAGAGTTGTATCTTCTCCCCTGTATCAATAGCGCCTTTTATAATGGTCAAGAAGATAAAATGAAGTGCATGCTTCCAGTGACAGAAACACTAATATTAAACTAACATTTTATTAATGAAGCAGGTCAGGCACACGTGTAACTTACAGTCTAATTTGAGAAAGAAGAAAACTCAGGTCTCCTTTACTCAGGGCTCTTACTCAACCCCATCCGTGGTACCAGTCCTTCCTGTTGGTTTCACCCATCCTCCTTTTCCTTTTCTCAGGTGGCCAGGCTGTTTGAGAGTGGTTTTCCTCTCCTCTCACCTCCCAGGCTGACCCCCCACCTCCAGAGGAAACAGTTTCGGCACTGGTGCTTGCTTGCCTTATAACCTCTTTGCTAAAACATAATTCATATGCGTAAAACTCATGCTTTTGAATTGTACATTTCCGTGGTTTTAATGTGACAACACGGATGTAATGGGCCCTTTTCCTCCCCCACATTCAGTCTTCAGTCCCTGACCTCTCCAGGGCTTTTGGCACTGTTAGCCACACCCTCCTTAATACTCCAGCCTTAGCCCTCTTCTCATGCTTCTCCTAATCACTTGGTAGTTGTTTTTCAGCTTGAGCTTCTCCTCCTTCACCTACCTTTAAAATGTTGATTTGGGTTACTTCTCCTTACCCACACTACCTCTGGGACCTCTCATAGCCTCAAAATCCACCTGTGTTTGCTGGGGCTCCCCATTGTCCATTTCATTCATTTATCCAACAAGTGTTTACTTAGTGTGTTTAAGGCTGTCTGGGACTTGAACTCTGTGCTGTTATTGAACCACTCTTCTGTTCTTACAATAAAGAAGGAACATTGCAGGTTTGAATGGTCTGGCAGTGGTAAGCTTTGCAGAGATGCTGCCTTGTGAACTGAGACTGGAGGGAGGCAGGGTCAGTCCTGCAGCTGTCGGGAGGAGGATGTGCTGTACCAGGGCAGGAGCAGCGAGTAGCAGGGCACCAGGAAAGGTGGAACGAGTGAGCTGAAGCTGAGAGATGCAGAGCGGCACTCACTGGTGCTGTGTGACATAATAAAGGATCAGGTCCAGCAGGGCTTTGTAGACATCATAGGAAGTTTGGCTTTTATTCTGAGTAGACTCAGGAAGGAGCGTACGACTTGGACTAGAAGGTGAATGTCTGGTGGTGTTTTAAGTAACAACCTCTGTGTTGAGAACAGACTATGTGGCGACAGGCGTTGAAACAAATACAAGAAGACTGCTGAACTGATGCAGTTTTCATGCGGTGGTGAACCTGTGGCACGCATGCTGCAGGGGGCTGTTTGTTATCATCGGAGGCACAGCTCTTTCAGTCTTTCTGACTTATGAGGCGCCTGGTTTGTTCACTTCTTGCCTGGCCTGGGCAGCCTGTGCCCCTCATTTAAGTGACTGATCGACACTAGGAGGTCCTGTAGTCTGGCCGGGAGATTTGGGCTGAATCCTAGTTCTATAACTTAATTGTTTGGTGACTTCAGACAAGTCACTTAATAATTTTGAGCCTCAGTTTCTTTAAAAAGGCAACAGCATAACTACTTAACAGGGTTGTTTTGGGGTTAGAGATAATAATTCTAAAGCTCTGGTTAGATAGTAATCCTCCCGACCACATGCTTCAAGACAGGGAAAGAGAGAGATGTAACTGAAGTTCACAGTATGCAGTTGGTCACTCTTTGTGCTGTCCAGTTCTGTAAAGTTTTATCGGATGCTCACGCCATGACTGTACTGTAACAGCCCCATGTGCACCTGCCCAGCCTGGAAACCTCCTGTGCTGACCTGCCCAGTATTCACCCAGGAAACACCTGAGAACCATGAACTTTTCAGACTGTTTTCCTCCACTTACCAGTTGAATGGATAGCTTTAATGGGATCAGTCTGAAACTTCTCAGCTTCTGAATATCCTCTTTATTAATATTGATCCTGCTAAGAGCAATAGTTTATTACTGACAGTCTCTCTCTCTCGTTACAGAAGGCCTACCCTCCATCATCCCAGATCTTTCTATGGTGTGTCAACTTGGAGTCATAGAAAATGTAATAACTTAAAATTTTCAGTGAATGTGTTAAATTTTTATTACCAAGGAATATGTCAGGGAGAATAAAGTTTTATTTATAAAATGTATTACAAAAAATTCTATGGGGAAGTGAGATGGAAATAAAAGTCAGGAAAGTGGGATAAAACGTAAAACAAGATTTTTGGCTGTTAAAAGACATGCTATTTGTATATTTAAAAAAATAGATGATGATATTGTGGATTTAAATTCTGTTGAATATATTTAAAATAGTTGATATTTTATTTTAATGTTAATTTTTGCAATTGAGTAGAACTACATTTCTTGAAAACACATATTTTGCCATAGGTGAAAATTTATAGTTGTTAGGTTGGTAATGCCTGAGGGTTACATAATTTCTCAACAATCTTTTAAGAGTCTTGAAAAAAATTGGAAACTGGTAGCCTGCCTACTTTGTAAAATCCGTATACCTGGCATATAAAATCCCTCCTTGCCTTTCTGCTCCTCTGATCCCCTTCCCCTTTTTAAAATTACAGCATCCAAAGCCTGGGTTCTGGCCTTTGCGGTCCCAGGTGAAGTATGGTCCAGTCTACCCTGTCTTCCCCGCTGTACCTGACAGGTGGTTCTGCAGTTAGCCCGCCTCCCCCACTTGAGCTGCAGCAAAGGGTCTTTGAGAGTGGATACTGGGTTTTATTTTTGCATCCTCATCACCTAACTGTATGTCTGTACTGGCAATGAGTTAATTTATTGGACAAGTGCTGTTAAGCAAGAAAGATGGATTTCAATAGCTTGGAAATTAATTGTGATGCCTAACTTTTGTCCATTACACTGTAAGAGCCTCTTCTGTTTTGCATTATTAGTTGACTGACTGTCTGGCTATGATATTTAGATTTACTGAAAAGGGTTCAATAAGCTTTCACATGGAGATGAACTCATATCTCTGGCCTCAGTAGGAGCACAGCTGTGGAGCATCAAGGCAGGAACTCTAGTTTTGGGTCTAAGGAAGTTGCAAATGGCCCTGGGCAACAAGGGGACTTTGATTCTTTATGTTGGTGAGATGAGTGACCAGATTATTTCCAAAGATTCCCTTACCTTTGATTTAATCAAGATAAAATTTTAATAAAGCAAACAAATGATAATCCTTGGCAAAAACGTAAAAAATATAGGCCTGATTCATCTTTGGATCATTCATACTGTGGACATTGTAGGTGTGGGTGTCATTGTAGGTTTTTATCTGTATCACCTGAATACTGCACAGTGTCATGGCTTAGATTTTGTCCTTAATCTAAAAAAAAAAAAACTAAAGTAAAATAATCACAATGGTCATGATTACAAATCAAGTAAATATGTTGGGTGCTGAGTCACATAATTTTCAGATTACAGTTTACTTGTTTTTATGATTTTCTGATTAACCTATTTTCTGATGTGTTTCTATCATTCTGGAAATGAACTTATTTCAAAACATCTCATTGTAGCCAATTAGCCACTGAAGTTTTATTTTAATGAGGAGCAACATTAGAACAATTACATAGATGTTTTCTGCTTTGGGCACCCATAACATGTAATAATTGAGTTTTATAAAGAGTGATCAAGAGACACACTGTAGGGAGACCTATGAAGATTTGGGATTGTGGTATTTGGCCAGAAGGAAGGCAGTGTTTCTTGTCTTATCTTCCTCTCCTCCCACCCTCTTTACTTCACCTGCTTTTCTGCAGACAAACCTCATAATTGCCCTTCTGTGCCTCATTTGGGGCTCAGAAAAGACCCACAGCATCTGTAAAGCTGGCAGAGAAATGGTATTTCCAGGCAGGCACAGGGTTGCTGGGTAGCGAGCCAATCCACAGCCCTGCCTGCGCAGCTGAGAACTTTGCTGGCGATTACCACGGTGTTCGGTAACAGACCTGTGCCATGCGCGACTGAAGCACTTGCAACTGCGAGGGTCAGTATTTATAGACCGCTACGCAGCTGCCCTGCAGAGGGAGACCGGGCAGCACGCACACAGGGCCTGAAGACACGCTGCAGTGGAGGGACTTTAATTTCCAGTGTTTTCTGGAGAAAAAAAAACAACATTCTTTTTCACTGTCAGGTTCAGACTTCTGTTGAATCATAACCATTTGGCGCTGAGCTATGATGAGAGAGGAAACAAAAAGTTAAAGCAGCAAGCCGCCGAGAGCGAGAAGGTAAGTAATTAGCCTGTTCAGCCTTGCTGGTGCTGTAAACTCCACGTCCCTGCTGGCTGCTCTGCACCGGCAGCAGAGGGCTATGCGGTGCTGGGGCTGCGAGGCGGGGCTGCTGTTCTTGGAGAACTTTCTTGGTTGTGCGGTGCAGCTATGTGTGTGTGTGCTGCGTACGTGCAGAGCACACTTACTGTGTGAGCGAGGACAAACTGCAGGTTGTGTCCCATCATTCAGTTTCTACCTCTCCATTTTCTCAAAGTTGAAGTTTTCTAGTTGGGAAATTCTGGCTTATTTTTCTATTAATATGAAAATGTCAGTATCAGTTAAGTTTACAGTAACGAGTGGTGTAGAAATAGAATGGAGGAGGAAAGTTTAGATGACAACGTGAAGCAGCAAACGGGGTCTTTGTGCTTTAAAACAAATGTTCATTTCACGGTGCCCTGAGGGGCATAGTCTTTCCTTTTGGAGCAGCGAGAACCAGGACTGATGAAAAGAATCATCTTAAGGCAAGGTCCTAAGTAGTTTTTTTTTTTGGGGGGGGGTACAACGTGAAGCAGCAAACGGGGTCTTTGTGCTTTAAAACAAATGTTCATTTCACGGTGCCCTGAGGGGCATAGTCTTTCCTTTTGGAGCAGCGAGAACCAGGACTGATGAAAAGAATCATCTTAAGGCAAGGTCCTAAGTAGTTTTTTTTTTTGGGGGGGGGTGGGCAGTACCGGGAATTGAACTCCAGTCCTTGCGCTTGCGAGGCAGGCGGTGGAACCACTGAGCTAAATCCCCAACCATTTAAACTTTTAGGAGTTTAAAACTTGCTACTTCAAGTGACTTGCTATCGGTTCTTTATAAACTCTGTCTCCTGACTAAATATTAAAGTAAAATCAACATCTCCTGCTTCACGTATTACTTTGTCTCTTCGTTGCATATAGCACTTTAAACGTGTTTCTGTGCAAGCACCTAGTGCTACACTGTATCCTTTATAGTTATTGATCTTGATGTCCCAGATTATCATTAAGGAGAGTAGTACAGAAAGAGTTTTCTGGTTTTTTTTCTGCATTAGCACACTCCTGAAAATCATGTATCTGTAAGGTTTTTGTCTCTTACCTATGGATTTGGAAGTCAGTGTCTTGCTTCACTAGAACTGTGGCCTTAGCCAGAAGAAACTTATTTACTGGTATAGTGAAAGTTCTCTTGTTTTTTGCATTGTGGAACCTTTAACGTTAGTCTGATATTTAAACATTTTTAGGTTGGGTTACATAAGGTGATTATAGTTTCAGAAAGTTTTCTGTACTCCATATTTAAAAGCAAGAATAATATTCATGTTGCTGTAGAGCTGTCTTCTGGCACATTTTTTAATAGGGCTGCTGTGCTGAAACTGGCTTATTCTAAAATGGGATAAATCTTATCAAAACACCAGGCAGAACAGGTGTAAATGTAAAGTGAACACCCTACAATGAGGTCAGTAGTTGTACAGTATCACATTTGTTGAATGCATATATAATTATTTAAATAATGCAAAATGATTCAAAATAAAATTGATCAACTCATGAGTGCTGCGAAGCTAGTGTAATTTGTATAGAAATGAAAACTGTGTATTTTTAATGTAAAGTATATCTTAACATTTAATACTTGTTTTATCTTCTCCATCAAGCTTTCCCTTGTGTATTTTTAAAGCTGTGCCTACTAGTTTTTTAAGGAGTTTCGTTTTGGATTTTTGACAGTGTATTCATTTTGAAAATGTGAGTGTAGTTGATCTAGAATGGGCATCCCTCAAAGAACATGCCTAGCTACATCTATAAATTTTTCTTTGCTACTGCTTTTGGTTAATGTGTTGTGGTCAGAATGATGATATTGGGTGATAACATCCAATATAGATTTTGTATTAATTGAGTGTTTTAAACCTTGAAATGCCTTGTCGATATTATTTTGGTCTCCATTGTCAATCCTGATTGTATTCATCATATTCGTGCATACCATTTTTATGCAGTCATAAGAGTGAATGCAGAGCTTTTTGTATTATTTGTCAAGTACCTGTTGAAAAAGGAGAATGAATTTAGCTTGAGATGTTACTGTTTGCTTCCTCCTGGATCTCACGCCCCTAGTTCTGCTGCCACCCCGCGTACTGTACCCTCACAGGGACAGTCTCCCCCGACCTTGAGCAGATTGCTTCCTGGAAACACACTCCCACCCGGGCCTTCTCTTCCTCCTCTTGGTGCTGTAAGCTCTTTTGATCTAGTTGCTGTTGCACTCTGTTCATCTTCTGCCATTCCTTTTCAAATGTTCGTATCTCTTTGACCTGTGAAATTATATTCTACTCTTTCTTTGTTTCATCTCCAACAATATTCAACATTCTCACATTTTGTATTTCTCAAAATAATCCCTACCATGTTTTTCCTTTCTGGAGTGCCCCCCCCACCCCGCGCACCCATTTAGCAGTACTGAGAATTGAACCCATGATCTTCAGACTGAGCTTCATCCCTGCCCGCCTCCTTCACCTTTTTTATGTTTTCATTTTGAGACAAGATCTTACTCAGTTGCTAAGTTAACTGGGCTGGGCTGGAACTCGCCATCCTCCTGCCTCCTGGAGCAGTGCAGCATAGGATGAGTTCCCACACCCCACTTCTGTCCACATCTTGGTGTCCCTTTAGCTAACTCTGCCTTTCAGGCCCAGCGGAGACCTCCATTCCCAGCACCCATGGTTGGTTCGCTCGGCTCTGATGCTTGGCCTTTTGTAAGCATTTGTCACCACACTTTGTAAAGCTTTATATGTTGTTTTGAGCTGCTTTTTTCATATAGGACTGTAAAATTTTTGCAGCCAGATTTTAAAAGTTTTTCTTCTATGCTCACATAGGACCTGGAATATGACAGGTTTTCTAGAATTTGAATGAAACATAAATATTAATATTTTTGTTGTAAACTTTTTAAATAGCCCTTTTATATTAGTATGTTTTAAAGCTTGGATGGAAAGTGCCTCAGTTAGATAGTACATGATTTGGGGGCAATAGCAGTGCTTTTTTTTGTTGTTGTTTTTTAAGATACAAAGTCTAACTCTGTAGCCCAGGCTGGCCTCAAACTCACCATGATCCTCAGACTCCCTGTGTTGAGTTCATGGATGTGCACTAGCACACCCAGCAGTAGTGCTTTTAAGAATTATTATTTTGTTTCCTCTTTCTAGCATCTGTCACAAGAGTGTGTATGTACGAATGTGCATTAGTGCAAGTAGATATTTGTTGAACAAAAGTGCAACATTGTATTGGTTAGCAAATGCAAATTCAGGACATGTAGCCACACAATCTTGTTACTTAATTGATTTCCTGGAAATGTCAGTATAGCCAGCTAGTTACTGCTATCCTGTGGTCCTCTATAATAAAATAAATGATTGCCCCACCAAGTGGAGCAGTGTCACCTTCCAAAGGGCCCGGGAAAACTTTAGAAGAGAATATGTCCAGTCTCATGACGCCTGGAGAGAGTGAAGTTGCTCCTGATAAAGGAGCGCCTTTAAGTTTTATTTACTGTTAAAGAGATAGTTAGGGATGTTGGGAAATCATAGCTGAAGAACTCTCAAACCTGAAAGGTGATACGCCATTTCAGGCAAAAGAAGAATTTGCTTCTCAAAATAGAAATGTTGAAAGAAAAGGAAGTCAGTGTTTAAAAAAGTAATTGAGAAATAGCAGCTGTTTCATCTCTGATACTCATTAAAAATAAATTTGTTTTGTCTTTTGTGTTTTATTTTGCCTATCATACATAATGTACTTACTTTACATATGGAATATTTTGTATACCAGAGACACGTGTAAAATTTCATGCACAATTTAGAGGAATTTAAAGTTTTTCTTGTTTTTATTTTTACTTCTTAGTGTAATCTACTTCCACCTTCCACTACTATCTAAGTCTTACAAACCTCTTCCAGACATCGAATATGACTCTTTTGTTTGTTTAACCTTGAGTTGTATCTGTCTCAAGAATGAAAACAAGACTGGTGTTTTTATAGAAAAATTTGGCAACCTTTTAATTGTTGGAATGGTCCATAATTTTATTTGAAATTTCTTTTCAGATGTATTTTGTCCATATAACTACCCAGTGGTAAAGCTGATAGGGAGAAAATGCCTTACCAAAAAGATCAAAGTATAAATTTTATAGATATTACCGGTATATTAAGTAATACTCATTATAAGACTGGGAGAGTGGAGATTTCTTTGATCATGGATGTAGAAATGTGTGTAGTTTCTGTTTGCCAGTGAGGACAGAAACCCAGGTTTGCCTCCATATTTAAAGATTATAGCAAAAACAAGCATAGGCTACATAGCGCTGCCACCACCAAGAAAAGGTAGAGGAACATTGTGGTTGGAATGAGGATAAGGGATTTTATCCAAACAATAAAGTCTTACTCTTAGTAGCTTACCTTGCCAATCAGAATTTGTTTTTTATAACTATGCTTGGCACAGAAATTGTAGAACCTGAGTAAAGAAGAAAGAATTAATTATGAAAGTGGAACCTTAAAGTCTTCAATTCTTTCATGTTATCAAGAGGCACTTGTGTACAAATGGGTAACATAACTTGCCAAAATATTAGCTTATATGGTAAGCTAGTTAAACTTTGGATTTTAAGAAAGAAACATAATCATAAGGCCAGTGTTTATTAGTGTAGATTTTCTTATTTGATTGTAATTGCTTTATTTTTATTCTGCATATTGTACTTAAAGCTAATTTGTTGGATTTCTCTATTTTGTATTGTATTGAACTCTTTTGCATTATTTCATAATTCCTGAAAGTGAAAGCTAGTAGTTATTGTCCTTAAGTGAGATGGAGTTTTTTTTTTTTTCCTTAAAATATTTCTTTCCTAATGGTAGACAGTCTTGTGGTTCTCCTGATTTTTGCCGTTTTGTTGGGTAGAACAGTTCCATTTACGGCCTTGGAACCTTTCTTCTTTCTGCAGAACATGGCAAGATGTTAGTCAGCTCTATCACTGTGACAAAGCACATGGGGTAATCATCCTCAAGTGCACGA